CCCTTTTTGAAATCCAGATTGCTCAGGAGAGATTATTTTATTAAGCATAGGGCCAAGTCTGTTAGCCACAATCCTGGACATCATCTTACTAAAAAAGGTAGATAGAGCAATAGGTTTGTAGTCACTAATTTCTCTTGCTCCCTCCACTTTGGGAATAAGAGTGATATTAGTACTTCCAAGAGCCATGGGAATGGAAATGCCTTGAAAGTATTCATGAGTGGCACTGATAAGGTCTGCCTTGATGATATCCCAAAAGTGTTTGAAAAATTTTCCATTGTAACCATCAAGACCTGCACAGCTGTTGGGATTGAGTTGCCATATTGCTGCTTTGATTTCTTCTTCCAGAGGGAGAGTAGTGATACACTGGTTATCTAGGTCATTAATAGCAGTTGGAATGTTAACAATGATGTCCCCCAAATTCCCAATATAGTCCTCAGAGAATGTAGCTTCATAATGATTGGAAATGTAATTAGCAATAAAGTCTGGATCTAGCAGCACCTTCCCTAAATGATCTTTAAGTTCTCTGATGCTAGCTTGCCTTCTTTTTCCATTAACAAGAAAGTGAAAATATTTGGTAGAAGCATAACAACAAGCTAGCCACTTAATATTTGCTTTTTGTGCCCAGTAGTTTTCTTCAGTTTTGCATGCCTTGAGAAGGTTTGCATTTGCTAGATGAAAGGCCTCTCTAGCAATTTCATGAATTCAACACAAACATCCACAATTCTCAATCAAATCGAAAGATTATACGCTAAGGGGGTTCTAATCTACGAATTAACGCTAATGGATGGTATAGAAACACCAAATCACCTCGAAAATTGAAGAAATCGAAACCTTGGGTTGAAACCACAAATCACCGCTGCTCTTTGCCGGAAATGGTGCGTGCGAACCAGAAATTGGAGGGGAAGAGAGAGACGACGACGGTGGTTCCCCAGGCGACGATGGGTGGCGGCGTTGGCTCCTTGGTCGCCGTCTCTGATCGACGTGCAGCTGCGGACAGAACAGAAACAGGAGAAAGAGGCTGCGAGAGGGGGATAGTGGCCGACGGCGACTTCCCGGCGAGCCTCTTACCTTATTCGGCAGTCGTATCTTGGGCCTAGTAAATCCGATTCTCAATTCGTTCATGTGGTAGGGTTCAGAATAGTGCGCCCTACAACGTATGTTAAGTCTCATATTAAATACGCAAATTAGAAAATAATCTTTGTATTGTCCGACTCAGTAATTAATTAATTATATAAATTAATTAAAAATACTAAGTCGGGTTTCTGGGCGTTACATTTCTTTCCCCCTCAAAGGAATTTCGTCCCCGAAATTCTTCTAGGTACAAACTTCAATGACTTGGTTTCACATTTGCATTACGATCATGGTTGGTAAATGGCCACACCATTCTCACAAAAATTCTCTTTATCGTTCGAGCTATTATCGTAGGAGTTTTGCATTGGTGTTTTGTTCAAGACATTTGATAAGTTTGTCGAGTTCATTATTCGATCTTTCTTGAGTTTGATTCCAACGGACATATATGGGGTACCTCCATAGAGCATACCAACAATAGTTAAGCTTTCAAATAACGTAGTGTCAGTTATTTGATCGGTCGTTCAGCTCGTATTCAAAGTTCATTTGTTTCGCTGGCTTATGACATCAACATAAGATCTTCTCAGGATCGATTAGCTGGATTGTGACAATAATCACACCTTCCTTGTGGCCGACAATTGAGTTTAAGAAAGTTTGTTTCACTGTTAGGCTCGTCGAGCATTAAAAGTCATTTCGTAAGTCTATCTAGAGTTGTTCTTTTTTCCTATTGTGATATCACGTCACAATCCCAGTAGCATATCGCCATGGTGAGTTTCACGGCGTTGTCACTTCATACCTATGTTTCTCACGCGATAAGTTAACTTCTGATGCCTACTAATAGTGGGTTACTGCTTGATTATTATTTATGTTCGATAATGTTTTCACGTCATTAGCGTATTGGTTCGTTTTGCTCGAGTCCATAACAAGATATATTCCTAGTAACAATTAATGCGATCATCCATTTATCCACAGCTCTTTTTCTGAATAGAAAGAAGATTCTTCAACATGTGGTCACGTTTTTGATCTTTGACAATGTTGAGGTACTCGAAATTTTGTTTACGGATTTTTTTTGTTAAAGGAATTCAGTTATAAGAAAATTTTGCAAGTTTATTCGTAATAATCTTCATAACAATCTTTTCATTCAACCATTCTTCATGCGATCCGTTCGGGGTGATTTGAATACTACAGGTGACGAGATACGATACTGTCTTTTAGTTCATGCGTACACGTGTCTTTATTATTGATAGAGTAAATCTTCATCGTTGAGATCTTCAGCAAGATTCTCTAAGAGTTGCATAGATGTTCAGACTGGTTCAATAGGGTCACGGTGATTTCTTAAATACATTTATTTACAATACGTTCTCCATTACAGTTTAGTCAACTGTATCGCAGAGTACGAGTTTAAAAGTCAAAGTGAAAGTCAACGTTATTACATAGAATTCTTTCCACACAAGATATTGTTATCTTCACGGGTACGTCACCACTTGATTTTGGAAAGAGATTTTGTCAATTCATTACAGAGATACTATCTCCATTCACGTGTAGAAGTTTGACCGACGTCAATGGATCAAAGTGGAGGATAATCAATGTAGTCAACATGCAGATGTAGGTTACGGATAAACTTTAACGGTTCAAGAATATTAAGCATTCGTTTGTCATGATATTCAAACCCAACTTTCGTACAGTCACACGCATTCGACAAAATATTTCAAGAATTGCTTCCTATGGATCGTCAGTCTCCGACACATTCCTTAAGAAAATCTTTTGGAAATCCTTCAATATACGATCTACATACTTTCGTGATTAAGTTCAGGAGATGTCACACGTCCATTAGTTAGTTGTTGACTTGTTTCTTGCGGAACAATTTTCTTCGCGATTGATCCCCCAACAACAAGTCTGATCCGCACGTAAAGGGTACTTTGTCGGAAGTTGTAGCAACAAACGTTATTTTCTGTGTCATTTGTTTCTCGTATTCGCTCAGTGCATTCCGTTGTTCAGACCACATGTTGTCAATCACCTAATTAGATTTCATACTTGTCGCCTAACGATTCGTGTGTCGTACTCGTCGGTACTATATCGCCAGCATTCGTCGTCGTCATGCGGTCGTCATCATTCGTATTCTTTCGTGTTAAGTTTGTCAATCCTACGGTATGGTTCATTATCGATATATAGTCTCGTCAGGTGTACGGTGAACCTTAGTCGTCATGTCCTTGGGAGCATGTCGTATGCCCTACCTAGCTTAAGTATTTTGCACGATGTTAACAACAAAATTCTTCTCTTCGCGACCAAGTCACGTCAGGATGCAAGCTCAATCTTTCAGGTCCAGTGTCTTACATGATGTTGCTTCACACACATTCATTATGTTTATGTTTGCTCCAGGCTTTGTACCCTCGGTGGGTCGTTCATGGTCAGAGTACTCAATGTAGTTCGGTGTTCAGGTTATTATGTATTACTCCTCTTCAAGTAGTACGTAATGATATCGTAACTTCTTGATCTTAGCGCGCATCCAAAGGTTCGTCCAAGAGTTTCAGGTGGCATTCAACTTGGGACACGACATTAATGGTAACGTATTCGACATTAAGTGCATTCATCGATCTCGGAATAAGTTCACCCTTCGCGAGTCATAACCTAAAATCTTCAACAACATAGTCCAGATTAAACTGATTCATTCTTGATTCATTAAAGTTATTTCTCAACAATTCATTGATCATACTAACGAGAGTAAGTGGGGCATTCTATTAACGTCACCACTATCACTATTGGCGTCACTAATACTTGCTAACCAGACTTTGTAAAAGTCATGAGCCCTTCAACGGTGCATCCTCTAATGGCAAGTCCACATTTTCACGTGTCGATATCGTAACTTCCTTCGAGTCTGCTTCAGTTGTTTCATTCTGTCCACAAGGTATGTCTACCCGTAACATCTTTCGAGATAGATCACTCATTAAGTTCTTTTGGTTTGTATCCAACTAGAACACTACACAATGATGTACTTGTGGTAAGTATTATTTTCTTTACTAATCAACAAGTTCTTCTTTTCCTTTATACGATCATTCTAGCTTGATACCAAAATAAGACTCCCTCATCCATCCAGGTCTGCAGCCCTTTCAGAATTTGGTTATCCATTCCGGTGACCAAACTAGAAAACTGAATATTGGACAAGATAATTTATTATGAGTATATTTTTGCACTTTTTTTTGTTACCTAGCATCTCGTCATCATGGTTTATGTTAAGATTCACCTCATAGTAAGTAGGTTTCATACTTCCATCTATAGGATGTGAATTCTTATCTTAGACTATAGTATTTCAGTCATCCCCATAATCAACAATTCGCAGCTCAACACAGACATTTCAACAGTCAGTCAACTTAACACAGACATTCAAGCAATCAGCTTCATACAAATGTTTAAGCAATCAGCTCAGCACAACTATTCGAATAATCAGTTCCTTACAGATATTTGAGCAATCAGCTCTAAACTATAATTTAAGCAATTAGCTCGACACAACGTTAAGAAATAAGACAATAGTTTATTACCTTCCCAGGAGACAAAGATGACGTGGAAGACGCGGATGCAGTTCTTAGAAATAACTTTTGCCCTTATTATTATTATTAAGATAATATTATTTTCACTTATTTATTTCCAAAATAGGACTTGCAATGGTCCGAAGACCGATTTTAAAACCATATGCTCCGATACCAAAATGTAACACCCCAACCCGCGTAACCCGAACCAACGGGTCAGCGAACCGGGTTGTTACTAATTTGGAATTTGCATGCATATTTTTTTAAAAATAAATAGTTAAATAAGTTATGAAATTCATTCGTAAGAGTTTAAGCTAAACCAAAGTTCATCGGAGTTATAAAATAAATCCAAACGTTGCGGAAGCATAAGGAAAACCAAAATAATGTCCAATAGTCCATATAATCAAATAAAATAATGTAGCTTAATTAGAAGAGTAAAAAAAACAAGAGCCATCCACGCCACCCCTCCGGGTTGCCCATTCGGCCTATGTTTCTACCTGCGTGCAGTCAAAACAACAACGACTACACGCTCAGCTAAATGCTGAGTGAAAATATACCTAGGCCAACATTAACTCACAGAATAGCACTCCATTAGCAGATAATTTAACAAAATAATGTGATCACGGAAAAACAACTTGAACGAGCATAGATATGTTAGCATTTTCTCCTTAAGTGCCTTACCATTATTTTATCTCAGATCATCTAACGTTGAGTCATGGCACCTTAAGCGATGCTATAAAAGGGCCAGCTCAGAAACCCAAAGGAGATTCACTTTAGGAGGGTTGAAGCCCATGTCCCTACGATGCCAGGACAGTTCGCGGACTTCCGTACGTACATTTTTAACCCAAGACCACCAGGTGTGCGACGACGCCCTGCAATGGCCAATTTCCTAACCATATCTTGTTGGTGATCCAATCAGTCAATCCAATTCAGGTCCGCCTAATTATACTAGGTGGCCTATTTTTCATATATTACTCATAATCCACAATATTCACCAATAAGATTAAGGCCCCGTTTGGCATCAGCGTTAGAGATTAGCGTTAGCATTTTCAAAAAGCTATCCGACGGTAGCCTTTAGCGTTAACGTTTTTAGATTTAATCTACACCATTAAAATTTTATCCAAAACGCTAACGCTAATCGAAAACGCTGTTACCAAACGAAGCCTAATTTAATTTAAATCTCGGTTCACAGATTCACAACAAATCACGCAGTGGCCTATCTGGGCCAAAGACCCACGATTACCGTCATTCATAATCAAACAACCTAATTGGTCCAATTAGAGCTGTTGCCCAGTTCCGGTCAATCTCGCCGCCGACGTTGCCGGCGGGTCGCCGGAGAAGACACCGGAAAACAGCCCCCAAACCCCAATTTAATGAATTCAACACAAACATCCACAATTCTCAATCAAATCGCAAGATTATAGCTAAGGGGGTTTTAATCTACAAATTAACGCTTACGGAAGGTATAGAAACAACAAATCACCTCGAAAATTGAAGAAATCGAAACCTTGGGTTGAAACCTCACAGCTGCTCTTTTCCGAAAATGGTGCGTGCGAACCAGAAATCGGAGGGGAAGAGAGAGACGACGACGGTGGTTCCCCAAGCGACGATGGGTGACGGCGTTGGCTCCTTGGTCACTGTCTCTGGTCGACGTGCAGCGGCGGACGGAACATCAACGGGAGAGAGAGGCTGCGAGAGGGGGATAGTGGCCGACGGCGACTTCCCGGCGAGCCTCTCGCCGGCGGCTGCTGTTGCTTGTCGACCGAACGCGAAGAAGGATCGACAAAGGGAGAGGACGAAGAACGTACGGGAAAGAGAGATGCTCCCTCTTGTAACCCCCTTCTTATTTAATATAATATTAAATAGAATTTAGTGTCCAGTTTACACTTTCCAACCCATTAAGACAGATTTAAGCCCAATTACCTTACTCGGTAGTCGTATCTTGGGCCTAATAAGTCCGATTCTCAATTCGTTCACGCGGTCGGGTTCAGAACAGTGCGCCCAACAACGTATGTTAACTCTCATATTAAATACGCAAATTAGAAAATAATCTTCGTATTGTACGACTCAGTAATTAATTAATTATATAAATTAATTAAAAATACTAAGTCGGGTTCTGGGGCGTTACAATTCAAACCTTTCATGTGCTTTAATAGCTGCATCTTCTGCTTCCTTGACTTTAGTAAAAATATTGCCAAAATGGTTAGCATTCCATTCCTTAATGCATATTTTGAGTCCCTTGAGCTTATTGGCCACACCCCTCATTCCTTTACCATTAGAGATAGATTTCCAATAATTTTTGACCATTAGATAAAAGCTATCATCCTAAGTCCAAGCATTAATGAATATGAAGGGTTTAGGTCCTTTATAAGTAGAGTTAATGCACTCCAAAAGTAGGGCCTTGTGATCAGAGGAGGTCTTACTAAGGTGATGAAGATAAATATCACTAAAGCTATCCAAGCATTCTTGATTGATAAGAATGCTGTCAAGCCTTCTTAAGACCCTGCCTTTAGTTCTATAACCCATCCAAGTGAAGAAGCTGTCTTTGATGGTGGGTTCTAATAAATTGCAGCTGAGTATAAAATCTCTAAAATCATCCATACTTCTGCTACATGGAGAGCTATTACCTTGATGCTCAGTGTAGGAGGTAATTGTGTTGAAATCCCCTCCCACCACCCAAGGTTTAGTTTCTGGGTTCTGATCAATGAGAGATTCCCAGAGATTGAGTCTGTCTATTCTGTTGTGTTTTCCCTAAACTGAGCTGATAAAGATAGGGGCTTTAGTTTCCACAAAATGGAAAAGGCAGGTAGTAACTTGATCACCTTCTTGTACCTGAGATAAACTGAGTTTATCACTATCCCAAAAAATCCAACATTTGTTAAATTGACTTGAAAATCCATGATTGAAGCTAAGCTTGAGTTTGTAAAAGTCCAGTTTTTTTTGTTGGAACACGGATTTACGCAAATATCGTACTAAGCCGTGTTCGTTTTATGATAGGTTTTGATAATGCCAAACCGCCGCGACAATAACAAGGTGAAACTAAGCAAAACCAAGGCGAAGGAACATGTCATGATAAACTGAGAATCAAGAGTCAAGAACCAAGAACGAAGACTTAGAATTTATTGAGTCGGTCTTATTGTTATCAAGACTGGCACAAACTTCCAAAACATGGCTCTCTAGGCTTACTCCATTAAAATACTCTTTTCCATACTCAAAAATGTTTTTCATAAGTTTTAAACAAGCCTAAAACACTTGGTGTTCGCCCAAACCAAAAACCAAGCCATTCGGCATTCGGTTTTCGAAAACCAGCGTTTTGCATTCGGTTATCGGCGTTGGTTTTTGGCACCCGAACCAACCAAGTGGTTTTCAACATTTTATGATTGACTTTTACTTCTGGGCATATTTAAATAGTTCTCCAACAAAAACCCTTCAAAAATCACCTTTCGTTTTTGGTCGTTTAGTGAAAACCATGCGAAACAGCGTAAAATTGGCTAGTCGTGGTTTTTATCTAAATGACGTGGTTTTTAAGATGGTTTACTTAATTTCTTAGCAAAATGCATTAAAAAATGTTTTCAATACTTGGTTTTTACTTTGGAGAACTTACATTTTTGACATCGGCTAACGGCATGACTAAACCAACCATGGGTCTGGCTAAACCAGCCCAACAGCAATGTTGGAGTAACTAACAGCGCTGTCTGGCAAGGGTAGCTGAAAACCATGGTTTGGCGTTAAGTTTTGCAACAGCGATGTTGGTGTTTGGACATCGCTGTTGAGCCAAGGTTGGGTTTCCAGAAACATCTGGAACAGCGATGTAGACTACCCTACATCGCTGTCCAACCTAAGCAAAAAAGAATTGCATTGGCAGAAAGTTTTTAGACAGCGCTGTTGACCCAGCAACAGCGATGTCAGGCCAATTCCTTCCCTTTCAAAGTTAGGCCTGAACAGCGAGGTTCAAGTAATGAACATCGATGTAGGCACCTGACCGTTGGAAGGAATTTATGGCTAAAACTTTCCTTGCTTGGAAGTCAACAGCCAAAACAGCGATGTAGGGGTTTTGGACATCGTTGTTGGCTTGACCGTTACTTTCCAATTTTCAAAAACCAAGCCTACAACAGCGATGTCCAAACCATGGACAGTGCTGTGTAGAGGATTTTCAGCAGATCCAGTTTTAATCAAATCCCACAAATTATCCCAATAACTCCTTAAATGTTTTGATCCGTTGGAACCTACTTTTGAACTATAAAATGGGGTATTTGGGTCTGTTTTATATATTACATTACTTCACAACTCATATCCTTTCATTGCATATCATTCATACTTTATTCATAGCTTCTCGAGAGCCATTTTTGTGAAGTTCGTGTTGTGATCTTGAGCGTATCACTTTACTCATATTCACTCTTTTGAAAGAGCCTTGGTCTTGAGTGTTCTTAGTGTTTATAGACGTTAAGGGAAGTTTGTTTCCCTTGGTTGTACAAAGGAAAAGTGTTTTTCCTTCGGGTTGAAGTCTTGGAGTGTGTTATCTCCGAGCAAGTGTTGTTGAGGCTCGTGGGACTCGAGTTCTCAAGTTGTAACGGTTTGTTAAGCTCCTGTAAGCTTAACGGAAGTAGTGTAGCTCGAGAGAGTCTCTTGGGAGACTGGATTAGCCACACGTTGTGGTGAACCAGTATAAATCTTGGTGTGCTCCCTTTACTTTTTCTACGCTCTTTACTTTTCACGCTTTGAATTTTTTATTCCTGCGACTTCTACGATCAAACGCTATTCACCCCCCCTCTAGCGTTGGTCACTTATTCTAACATTTTTTCCTCCACAATAGGTTCAAAGAAAGCTAGGAAAATGAAATTATAGCATTTCTTAAGAAGTATAAGTCTATTGAGGGAAGACTTGATACCACAAACATTCCAAAATAAATCTTTCATTGGGAAACTGAATGATTTGAGCTCTTATTGGCTGATCTAAGCCTGGATTTAATTGAGGTATTGAGCTGGATCTTTTTAACTTTTTCTGGGATAGGTGGGAGGCCTTTGGAATTGTAGGGATAATCATACATAATTCCCAGGTCTTCATAATCTGATTCATCACTTTCATATTCTTCTTCTTGTTGCAGGAGTGGTGAGAATTTAGATTCTGCTATAGGTAGTGGTTTCCATAAAACCAATGCCATATTATTACCCTCACTATCTGCAACAACTTCTGGGCCCTGAGGAGGAGTGGGGTCTAAAAGAGCAGAAGTGGGAGTTGATGTTGCAGGGGCTGGACAGGGTATTACTAGAACTGGGGTGTCCTTGTCTTGTAGTTGTTGTGCCTCATATGATTTGGAACATTCCCCAGGTCCAGAAGAAGAGGGACCCAATTCTCTTTTCCAAACAGCTTCAGACCCACCTCTTTTGGAGGTAATAACAGTCCATTTTTCTCTAGTTATCTCTTTGCCCTTGTTTTCTCTGATTTGGACTGGTTGTTTGAGTTCCCTCTCTTGATTCCTACAGTGACCTCTCAATTGACCTAGTTTGGAACATGAAGAACAATAATGTGGAATATTTTCATACACTAGTTGGAGAAATAAGTCTTTCCCTCCCAGGTTGATATGAATCTTAGAATGGGGTGGCTTGGAGACATCGATTTCAACACAAAAACGAGCCAGTTCTGGTCTAGAGAACCTGAGTGTGCTTTCATCCACTTTAAGAGGCCTTCCTATAGCAGAAGCTATTATAGAAAGGGCTCTCTGATCGTGAAGAAAGATGGGAAGTTTAGGGCAGCTGACCCAAACTGGAACCACAGGACAATCAATCCCTTCTGTGTGATCAGTAGTCCATTTGGTAACCACCAAAAGATGATTACCTACTGACCAAGTTTGTCTAAGAAACACCCTCTCATAATCTTCTTCAAATTGAAAATTAATAAGAACCTGATTATAAGAGAGTGTTCCAATTGAAAATCCCCCCTGCAGTCCAAGCTTCTGCAAGAAATTCTTCAAGATTGCATAAGCTGGCCTTCTAGCAAATGTACCAATCAGAGCATTGGTGAATCTCCTAGAAAGCTTCTGAATATCTTCAGGTGTGAAGGATACTGATGGGCAGCCCTTGAATTCACCTTGAACTGAACCTGGCAATTTGTCTTCTTCAGGAATTGTATTAAGAACTTTTGAAAATAGCTTTTTCCGGATGTGAATTCCGGTAGTAGTGCCTAAGGATTTTTCTCTCTCTAAAAGCATTTTATATATATATATATATATATATATATATATATATATATATATATATATATAATTTTTTTAAAATAATGAACGGTCGGTTACAAGCAGGAGCCCAAGGCCCGTTAACACCCAAGGTAGATAACCCACTATAGAAAGCCCAAAGTAAACTCAATCTAAAGCCCAACCCCATAAGCCCAAATCTACTTCCTAGGGGGCCACCCATCATTTTTGCTACTCCCATACCAGCACGCTTAACTCTATAAAATTTCTCCAAATTTGCATCTTTTGGGGATCGAACCCGGGTGGTGTGGTTCGCCAATCAACCATGTGACCATCTCGACAGGGAAACCACTATATATATATATATATATATATATATATATATATATATATATATATATATATATATATATATATATATATATATATATATATATATAAAATAAAAATGTGCCTAAGTGCCAACAGGCTGACACCTAGTACAAGAGAATGTAAAAATTCCAAAGCTAAAAATAGGAGACTTATATAATAGTGTAGTATCAATCGTGTTCGCCCAACACCACGTTTGCAAAAGCTTGTTTATAGATATCGTAACCTTGACTCATTTCCAAACGCCTTGAGAATAAAGGATTGAGTTGTATCTCTTCCAAATCGACCAAATGATGATTCCCGGAAAAATAAAATTGATATTACCCTTAAACGTTGATCGGTTAGAGGACATCCACCAACCTAGCAAAGATTGAGTAACTGTCCAAGTGCTGCCAATGATAGGTGCATCCAACGCCACTGCATATAACCTCTAGAGCTCCACCACCTCTCTGCAGTTGATGAAAAGATGATCTTCATCCATACCGTCTTAACACTATTCTTGATTGCTGATTTTTGAATTAATTCAACTCTAATCACCTCCTAATGGCTAATTAACATCTTCTACTATAAATATAGGCCTAATACTTCATATTTCAACAAGAAAAACAAAGCTCCAAACATCCTCCCTTTATATTTTAAGTGTGCTCATCCTTTTATTAATTATTTTCATTATTTTGGCTATTCCAAGAGCCTTAAATTCCTAATTTTTATACACAGACTTTGAGCTTGTGTTTCTAGTTATATACTCTCATATTCATAAGTTTGAATTGTATTTTTGAGAAAATATACTTTCCTTCTACACCGGCTAAGTTTTGTTCTTCATTTTTATATTCAAGCCGTTGTGTAGAACTCTTGTTTGTGTTTTTCAAACACATCTCTATACGGTCGAGAATAGCCGTTAAATTCTCATATTGTATCGGTTAAGGATAGCCGTAGAAATCCTTGGGTAAAGGTTCAAGGATAGCCTTTGAAATCCTTGGGGGAACGGTAGAAGATAGCCGTTAAATCTTCATTGTAAACGGTTCGAGATAGCCGTGGTGAAATCTCGGAGTGAATCCTATTGGCAAGGGTTGTTTGCCAAACTAGTATGGTGCTTTGACGGAGTTCAAGAGACCGAGACTTAGTAGATTCGAAAATCCTTGAGGAGGAGCCTCGAGGTACTGGAGTAGGGAGTTCCCGAACCAGTATAAATTTGGTGTGCATTTTATTTACGCTTTTATTTTTGTGTTTTATTTATTGCTTCTGCATTTGCCAACACCATTTTTATTAAACTCCGAAAAGTTTTCAAACGCCATATTCACCCCCCTTATAAGGCGTGGGCACAACAACTAAACTGACTAACAATTGGTATTAGAGCGGTTTTGTAGTTGAAAGTGCTTAACCGCATCTACGACAAAGATCTACTTTTTGTGCCCTTTTTAAATTTGAATTTTTTTATCTCAAAAGTTTCTTATCCCTGATTTTTTAAAAAAACGGGCCTCCACAATAGAATCCCAAAGCATTCACCGCCCTCTGTTTTTCAACGATCAAAACTATTCTTATTGGAAAATGCGGACGGAATACTTTTTCAATCCATTGATTTTGATTTATGGTTGAATGTACTTCACGGACCATTTGTGCCGAGAAACGGTGATTTTGCAGGACTATCCTTGGAGGACAAGAGAAAATTGTCAATGAACGCAAAGGCGAAGAACATCCTTCATTGCTCCCTTGGACCCGAAGAGTTTGCACGTGTGTGCTCGTGCAAAACGGCTAAGCAGGTATGGGATTTTCTTTAAGCCACGCATGAAGGTGACACCTCTACGAAGCAAACCATGTTGGCCCTCGAAAACTCGAAGTATGAAAGTTTCAAAATTGGCCAACACGAGTCAATCCAAGATGCCAATAGAAGGTTCGATGAAATAATCAATAAATTGGGTAAGTTGGGTAAGGAATATTCTACAAGTGAATTAAATACTAAAAATTTACTTTCTTTTCCAAAAGAATGGCACAATAGCATTGTAGATCTTTTATCCAAATGTGCAACGGAAAGCACCGCCCACATTTGGTCTTCCCTGTATTCTCACGAGCATTTGATAATTAAGATAAAAGAAAAATATTTGAGAGAAGACCCAAAACAAACCAATGCATTCAAGGCATCCAAGGAGGAGTCTAGTGATTACTCACGTGACTCAAATGATGAGTCAAATGAAACGGATGAAACATCCAATAACTCTAATTCGTCAAGTGATTATGAAGAAGAAGAAAGAGAAATGAGGAAGAAATACAACAGTTTTCTCCAATGGAAATTTTTTGAAGACTCAAGAAGGAGAAAATCAAAAAAGAGAAAGAAGTATATTTCAAGTCGAAGAAAGAACGACATAAGCCAAGGTAAGTTTTTTTTACTTATTGGGATAAGAATTTTTGTTTTCAATATTTTTCAAAAATAAAAACTTATCCCATATATGCTCTAACTTGCTTTAGCCTTGGTTTGCGTGATTAATTTTTTTTTAAAAAAATTATCTTTAAATCATGCATTTTAGAAAATAATCCCTAAAAAATCCCTGAAAAATAAAGTTTTTAAACTTGCATCATTTTAGGGGGAGTTTTTGTTTTTTAGGGAGAGTTTTGTTGTAAATGCACCTTTTTCCCAATGATCTCCAAACTATCATTTTTCCTAAAAATTCATTTTGATAGGGGGAGGGTTTCAAGAAGTTATACATGTTTAAAATTTTCAAAACGCCCTTTTTTATTTTGACAAAAGGGGGAGAAGATGTATACTTCAAAGTGGTGCATATGCAACTTGACTTGAGTGCATTCTTGTGTAACTATTTGCATCAAAATCAAACTTTTAATAAACACAAGAAAAGTTCAAAGTGAGTATTTTCAATATGCTTATTCTTAGGGGGGGCTTGCTTGCATCATTATTTTACTCCCGCCTAACTCACTTTGAATTATATTGTTTGTCAACATCAAAAAGGGGGAGATTGTTAGCCTTGGTTTGCTAAGCCTCATGTTTTGATGTTAACAAACAATATAAGAGCTTGATGTTTGTTTAAGTGTTTCAGGTACAACAAGAATCCATTAAGATTCGGTTCTCAAGAATGAAGTCGAAACACTAAACTAACGTAGAATTTAGGTAGAAACCGATGTAAGGATATGATTTTATATACATATATTCACAAGCTAAAAAACACTCACAAAATACGTTTAAAACCCTTTTATAATCATTTTCAAACATCCAAAAGGTTTTAAACAAAATTGGAAATGATTTGGACAAAAATGAAAAATTGTCAAAATGGTCATAAGGTACCTAGGTACCGTGAGGGGTACCGTAAGGGGTACCGTGAGTTAATCTGAGAAGGTACCCCCTACCGTCAGCACGGGACCCCCTACCATCTGGACGGGACCCCCCTACTGTAAGGGGTACCATAAGAGATAGGTACCGCCAGAGAGCTTTCGCCTGAGAAGGTACCCAGCTACCATACGGGACCTAACTACCGTGATAGGGTGCCGTTACCGTTGGAACACTATTCCTGATTGCTGATTTTTGAATTAATTCAACTCTAATCACCTCCTAACGGCTAATTAACATCTTCCACTATAAATATAGGCCTAATACTTCATATTTCAACAAGAAACAAAGCTCCAAACATCCTCCCTTTATATTTTAAGTGTGCTCATCCTTTTATTAATTATTTTCATTATTTTGGCTATTCCAAGAGCCTTAAATTCCTAATTTTTATACACACAGTTTGAGCTTGTATTTCTAGTTATATACTCTCATATTCATAAGTTTGAATTGTATTTTTGAGAGAGTATACTTTCCTTCTACACTGGCTAAGTTTTGTTCTTCATTTTTATATTCAAGTCGTTGTGTAGAACTCTTGTTTGTGTTTTTCAAACACATCTTTATACGATCGAGAATACCCGTTAAATTTTCATATTGTATCGGTTAAGGATAGCCGTAGAAATCCTTGGGTAAAGGTTCAAGGATAGCCTTTGAAATCTTTGGGGGAACGGTAGAAGATAGCCGTTAAATCTTCATTGTAAACTGTTCGAGATAGCCGTGGTGAAATCTCGGAGTGAATCCTATTGGCAAGGGTTGTTTGCCAAACTAGTACGGTGCTTTGACGGAGTTCAAGAGACCGAGACTTAGTGGATTCGGAAATCCTTGAGGAGGAGCCTCGAGGTACTAGAGTAGGGAGTTCCCGAACCAGTATAAATTCGGTGTGCATTTTATTTACGCTTTTATTTTTGCGTTTTATTTATTGCTTCTGCATTTTCCAACACCGTTTTTATTAAACTCCGAAAAGTTTTCAAACGCCTTATTCACGCCCCTATAAGGCGTGGGCACAACGACTAACACCTCTTACCCCATAAGTAAACACATGAGTGTTGCTTTGGATGATGATTATAAGTTAATGAATAAGCCACTTTGAAACTATAGGTCCCAGTCCTCCATTACATTACCCCATTGTTAAAAGGGCAGTGAGGAGCAACTAAATGAGATACCCTGCAGATGGCTTTCCATGTATAGGAATCATAAGGTTGATATGTATAGTCACCATCCCTAAAGTACTTGGCCCGCATATACTGACTCCAGATTGAAACCCCCTTATGAACCTTCCACCATAAATCAATGGAGGCAGCTGTTTGGCAAAGATCTAAATCACTCAAACCCAGGCCCCCTTCTTCAAAAGGCAAACAGAGCCTAGTCCATCTCCTCCAATGGTATTTGTGACCACCATCCTTAGCTCCCCAAAAGAAATTAGCCATCAAGCCATTAAGACATTTGATGATAGATTTTGGAAGAGTTTGCGCAGCAACCTAATGTAAAGGTATAGAAGAAAGCACATGTTTGATAAGTATAAGCCTTCCCATTTGGTTTAGCTTTCTACTGTACCATGATGTTATACTCTTTTCAAACTTCTCCACCAACTCCTTTCAATGTGACTTCCTTAGCTTCCCTCCGACAATAGTAGAACCCAAATAAGTAAACTCCTTTGTGTTACACTTAATGCCTAAAATTCTGGTAATTGCCCTTTTCTGCTCAAGCCTCATCTTGTGATTCATGCACAATGGCTTGACTTTTGTTTAGATTTATACCCTGCCCTGAAGCTTCCATAAAGGATGATAATATTGTCTTCTCTCAATAAGTTTCTGCAATCTGCCTTTGTAAAAGTAATAATATCATCTGCATAAAGAAGATGGCTAGGGGTTGGGGTTCTACTAGAGGAAAAGGAGGAGATCCTGCCAATTGAGTGCTGATAATTCAGAAATCTGGTAAGGCCCTCCAAGGCTAAAATGAAAAGTAAGGGAGATAAAGAATCACCCTGCTTAACCCCACACTGCATAGGAAAGAAACCCTTTGGCTGTCCATTAATAAGCATAGAAAAGAAAAGCGATTTAAGGTTTCCCATCAAAAGCTGAACCACTCTTTGAGTAAAACCAAACTTAGCAAGGAGTCCTTCCAGAAAATGCCAGGAGAGTTTATCAAAAGCTTTAGACAGATCCAGCTTCAGTATACAATTCCCTCCTCGCACCTTTTCTGAAAGGAGATGTACCATTTCCTTAGCCATGAGAACATGCTCAGTTATGCTTTGCCCTGCTGGAAAGCAGCCTGGTCTGGAGAGATAAGCTTGTGTTGGGAAAAATTATAGATTTTGATGATGATGTATTTAGATTGTAATAGGGACTTTAGGTCACCCCCAATATTCAATGTAATTCTCTTTTTAGAAATATTGTTAAAACCGAGTTCTTGAGATTTCCAATAAAGCGTGTGATATTTCACTTTGTGGTTTGATTTTACTCTTTGAAGACTTAATCAAAATTCAGTGATATGGAAATTGGAAATCTTGCTCGAAAATGTCAGAGACAAGTAAGGAATTCTCAAAGAAGACCGATTACTTTGGAATTCTCAAAACCGGATTGCTCGTTATACCCGGAATTCTCACTACGACCCGCTGAAGGCTAAGTTATCCGGATCGGAAGACTAGCGCGGATCTCTTTCTCACCCGGAAGTCTAAGGATGACTAATCCAGAATCGTCAGCCAAGAACCGGATGTCTCAAGGAAGACCGGAACTCTCAGAAGCAGACTAGTGAGAAAAGACTTAAAAAATTATCTAAGTCATGAATGAAGAAATTTTACCTGTTGGTAAGGAAAAATCAAATTCTTGATTTTCAACGGCTAGATTGAGGATAATTAAGTTGATTCAAGAACAAATGACCTGAAGACAAGGTAAACTTCACAAATTGAAGAGCTCGTCTAGAATTCCTTAACAAACACAAGAAGACAAAATGGGTACTCCACTCAATAAAGAGCCAAAGTCTAGAATTCTTGAACAATAACTAAAAGACGGATTCTGTGAAAAAGAAATCATTTCTCAAACAATTGGGTATGTCCAAACACCCATTCTAATGAAGAATCCTCAATCTCACTCTTCGTTCAAAATTGAAGCCAGCAAATGCAACGGATAGTCTATTCCCTTCAACGGATAGATTATCCATCTAGCTATATATAGCTTCCATAGAATGTTGGACATGAGTTCAAACCCCTTTACTATTTCTTCTGAAATATTTTTTGTTTTGATGAATGACAAACAAGATGATTAATTTCAAGCTGATCGAAAATTTATTTTCGTATCGAGAAAAGTAAAGAAGGGTATCAAGAAGTTTACGGCAATAAAAAAAATATCGACGATCCCCCTACGCAGATTTTTTTGAAGTGAAGTGAAGACTCCGAAGACTTTTTTATTTTTTTATTGAGTCTAGGATTCCTGTAAGGATGACAATAACTTTTGCATAAACAAATTAATTTCTGAGGGATAAAAATTATTATTTCTTGAGTCAGTTGAAAAATTATTTTTTCTCTGTCCAAAAATATTTTACTGAGTCAGTTTCAAAATAAGTGTGTCAAAATTTCGTAAAAATATTTTTTTTAAGATTACACAATTTTTTTTGTTAAGAAAAATATACTTTAAATATTTTTCGTGTACATCTTTTGACACACAAAATAATTTTTTGAACTCACTTTTTCTCCCCTAATAAAATTCATTGAATAAGGGTTATCAATGAGCGTGCATTGATTCCCATTGTCTCAAACAATCGTATGAAGCCAAAGGCTTCAATCGCAAATAGGCTTGGGCCCTTTATGTTTGCACAGCATTTTGAAATTAATCGATTTTCTCTTCCTTTTTAGTCGATTAAAAAGGAACGTGCCTACATTTCTTGGGAGAACGACGGCTCCGGGAGTGAAGGCTCGGAAACGGAGGAAGTGGCCAACTTGTGTCTCATGGCCATTGAAGATAGTGATACATCAAAAGAGGTAAGTGATCAAGAACCTTCTCCCAATGATCCTTTAACTCTTAATGATGTTGTTTGCATTGTAGAAGAATTGGTAAGAATGTTCAAAAAGGCTTCCAAAGAAAACAATGAAATAAAGCAAAAAATCCTGATTTTTGAGAATAAAATCAAAGAACTCAAAAATATAAGTGACAAACTTAAACAAGAAATTATCTCTTTTGGAAAAAGGCCACAAGAACCTTCAACTACTTCTTCTTCTACATGCTCTAGTTGTACATCACTAAAAGCTAAGGTTACTAGTTTAGAGAGAAAATTGGGAAAGTTCAATAATGCTTCAAACACCTTAGATAAATACTTAAGCAAAAAGTTAGTAATGGTGAAGGACTTGGATATAAGAAAAACCAACCTAGAAAAACAACATTTGCTAAAGCTAGGGGGAATAAAAATGCTAAGATAAACAATCAAACTAAAAAAGCACATCTTAGCAAACCTAGAACTCATTACACTCAACCATATAGGATGAATTATCCAAATGTTATTTGCCACTATTGCAATAAAATAGGTCACATTGCACCCGTGTGCTTCACCAAAATTAGGCATTTTCAACAAACGCACACACATCGCACATATGCTAACCAAAAAGGACCCAACAATACATGGGTACCTAAACCGTCTCCTTGATATCTTTTTGTAGGTGTGCTTGAAGGCTTCGAGTACTTCTTGGTATCTCGATAGCGGATGCTCCAAGCACATGACCGGAGACGCATCCAAATTTAGGAGTTTAGAGTATTTCAAAGGTGGCAATGTCGTCTTTGGTGACAACAACAAAGGAAGAATCATTGGAAGTGGCACCGTCAGAAAGGACAATGCTACAACCGTTGAGAACGTTCTTCTTGTTGAGGGCCTCAAGCACAATCTTCTTAGCATTAGCCAATTGTGCGATAGAGGTAACCGTGTCATCCTTGATTCTAGAAAATGCATTGTAGAACGCTTGTGTGACAATAAGACTATTCTTTGTGGTAGTAGAGTAGATAACATTTACATGTTTGATCTTGAAAATTCGCCGTCTACTTTAGCTAAGTGTCTCAATACCAAAGAGGAAGAAACGTGGCTATGGCATCGTCGGATAGCTCACGTTAATATGGACCATCTTAATAAGTTGGTTTCAAAAGACTTAGTAATTGGTGTTCCTAAACTTAAGTTTGAGAAGAATCTAATTTGTGATGCATGTCAAAAGGGGAAGCAAGTAAGGGCCTCGTTTAAGTCAAAGAACGTTGTTTCTACTACTAGGCCATTACAACTTTTGCACATGGACCTTTTTGGACCTTCAAGAACTATGAGTTTAGGAGGTAATTACTTCGGCTTTGTTACCGTTGATGACTATTCGAGGTTTACATGGACACTCTTTCTTGCTCATAAGTATGATGCACTTAATGCTTTCAAGAAATTCATTAAATTGGTTCAAAATGAAAAAGACTCTCACATTGAATCCATTAGAAGTGATCATGGGGGAGAATTTGATCAAGACGGCTTTGATGTCGTTTGTGACGAATTAGGCATTGAGCATAATTTTTCAGCCCCCCGTACCCCACAACAAAATGGCGTGGTTGAATGGAAAAATAGGTCTCTTGAAGAGATGGCTAGAACTATGCTCAATGAGGCAAACCTTCCTAAATACTTTTGGGCGGATGCCGTGAGTACCGCGTGCTACGTGTTAAATCGAGCCGTCATTAGACCGATACTCAAGAAAACGCCTTATGAACTTTACAAAGGAAGAAAGCCTAACCTCTCCTATTTTCATGTCTTTGGATGTAAAGTTTTCATTCATAATAATGGAAAAGATAACTTGGGAAAATTTGATGCTAAGTCGGATGAAGGAATTTTCTTAGGTTATTCTCTTCGTAATAAGGCATATAGAGTGTTCAACAAGCGTACTAAGACCGTAGAGGAGTCTATTCATGTTGTCTTTGATGAATTTGATACTCGCTTGGCGAGAAAAGGTATTGTTGATAATGTTGCAGGCTCTTATGATGATGAAGAAGAAATCGTTAAGGAAAAGGAACAGGAAGAAGAGAAAACGCAGGAACAAACAGAGCTTCCTAAGGAATGGAGAACATTGAAGAACCACCCGATTGATAATGTCATTGGTGACATAACGCAGGGAGTTTCTACTCGTAATTCTCTTAGGAACACAATTAATCACATGGCCTTTGTTTCTCAAATTGAACCAACAACCGTTTTGGATGCTATTAATGATGAACATTGGTCTCTGGCAATGCAAGAGGAGCTTAACCAATTTAAACACAATGATGTTTGGGAATTGGTGCCTAGACATAATGATCATTCCGTTATTGGCACAAAATGGGTGTTTCGTAACAAACTCGATGAAAATGGAATAATCACTAGAAACAAAGCTAGGCTTGTATCTAAAGGCTACAATCAAGAAGAAGGCATTGATTATGAAGAAACTTATGCACCGGTTGCACGTTTAGAAGCTATTCGTTTATTGCTTGCATTTGCATCTACAATGGATTTTAAACTTTATCAAATGGATGTTAAAAGTGCCTTCCTTAATGGTATCATTCAAGAGGAAGTGTATGTCGAACAACCCCCGGGTTTTGAAGACTATGAGTTTCCCGAACATGTCTTCAAACTCAAAAAGGCGCTTTACGGTCTCAAACAAGCATCTCGTGCTTGGTATGAACGGTTAAGAAAATTTCTTTTCGACCATGAGTTCAAACGGGGTCAAGTCGACACTACTCTTTTTATCAAGAAAGATAACCAAGACATCCTTTTGGTTCAAGTTTACGTAGATGATATCATATTCGGTGCTACTAACAAGGTTTTGTGTAGGGATTTTTCCGATATGATGCAAAGTGATAAACTTTACAGTTACTACCCTCTTAATTTCAAGAAGGAACCCGACGTTTAATCTGTTACGTTTCTTCCTTGTAAGCACACAGTTTGTTTTATAACATCCCTTAACGAATTTTCCAAGCTACAATGGCTTAGGTTTAGGTAACTGTGTGGTTACTCGTGGAGAACGATAGTCGACAAGGACGAAAAAGGTAAAGATGTTAACATCAAGCGCTACCGAGGTATGATCGGCTCTTTACTTTATCTTACCGCGAGTAGACCGGATATCATGTACTCCGTTTGTATATGCGCTAGGTATCAACCATGTCCTAAAGAGTCGCACTTGGTTGCGATCAAAAGGATAATGCGATATCTCGCGGGCACGTTGAATGTAGGTCTTTGGTATCCCAAAGGTTCAACATGTCATCTTGTTGGCTATTCCGACTCGGATTTTGCAGGTTGCAAACTCGATAGGAAAAGTACCAGCGGTACTTGCCACTTATTCGGTCATTCGCTAATCTCGTGGTTTAGTAAGAAGCAGGTTAGTGTTGCACTTTCCACCACCGAAGCGGAATATGTCGCTGCGGGAAGTTGTTGTGCCCAAATTCTTTGGCTAAAACAACAACTAGTGGATTTCGGCCTTATACTTGATCACATCCCTATTAGGTGTGACAATATGAGCGCTATTAGTCTAACGAAGAACCCCGTTCTTCACTCGAGGACTAAGCACATAGAAATTAGGCATCACTTCATACGAGATCAC